AAGCCTCAAGACTTAACTGCCACCTACAGGAAATACAGAGAAGAATCCACTGAACAAAAAAATAAGAATGCAACCAACAAAATCCAGACTGTGGGCAACTATAGAACAAATATCCCAGGTTCTCTAACAAACAAATTACATGGGGGAAAAGAGGGAAGAGGAATGTGGCCTTTGTTTTATTCTGATTAAAACAGATTTTAAAAATTTTTAAATGATAAACATTATAAGATAACCAGTGAAATTTGAACACTGATAGAATATTTGATGATATTAAGGAGTGATTATGAACTATTTTTAGCTCTGTTCATTGTATTATGGTTATGTATAAAATAAGAATTGTTACCTTTTAGAGATACTGATTAAAATATTTATGAATGAAATGATTAAATTTTAAAAGGGGGAGAAGAGAGTGGGGTAAAGATGAAGCAAGATTTGTTATTGTTGCAACTGAGTGATAGCATCCTTGGGGATTTATTACAGTATTCTGTATAATTTTCAATAATAATTTTTTTCCTTTTAATTGGTTTTGAAGGACAGTCTTATTTCCTTAATGTCTGATTCAGGACAGGGAGAGGCCAATTTACCATAATCTCCAGGTGCTAATATTGGCACCCTGCATTTTTTTGCCCAGTGTCTGTCTTTCCTTCACAGAGTTCTCTGTGATAGTCACCACATTAGCGTTCACCTTGTTGTGCTCTACAGAGAGGTCAGCGTTTCAAGAACCAGTCATTAGTCCTCTTCAAGTTGCTACAGTTATCACTGGGCCAAGGATGTCTGGTTCCTTGTTCCCTCAGGTAAAGCACAGTGCAAATTGCTAATAGTAAATGAGCTACTAGACTATTTAAAAGCCTTTTTTTCTGCTAGTTTTTCTTCAGGACAGAAAGGTTTCCAAAGAAGGAGGCCGAAAAACAACCAAAACACAGATATCCTTGATGTCTCCGACTTTCACATTGAATCGAAAGACTCTCACATAACATCTGCCTCAAGCAGGCTTTCTGTGTAGCCTGTGCAGCTGCCAGGATTGTTGGGCTCTCAGTGACTCCACCGTACATCTGAATGTGAGCGCATTACAGATTTTATTGAGATTTGGGGGTAATAAATGAGAAGTCCACAAAGCATAAAAAAAGTTAGCAAATTTAAATAGAGTCATAGCTCTTCCACTGCCCAAAGCCTCTCAGCCAACCTGTGATCTCTTAGCAGTTTCTCTTCATGGCTAACCAGGGTATTGTGGGTCCATGCCTCTCTGTTCTAAGATTTCTCCAATATCTCAGTACTTGGATCTCCATCATTGACTTATGAAGAAACTAAAAATTGTTGCTTCATTAGCATGCAAAGCACTAAACACTTCTTTGTTTGAACCTGATCAAGAGGGCCAAAATCTGTTCACACATCTTCCTAAACAGATGTGCAGCTGTCTGGCTGGTAGGAATTCTGCCTTCCTCCTAAGCTAATGAGCTCAAACTGTTGCTTGCCTTCCAGGATAACAAGCGTTTAAAATAAACATTTTTTTCTTTTCCTTACAGAATATTTCTGTTTAAACTACAGTAGGCACTACGATTTACCCTACACATTGATAGGAAAAAATAAGACTGTCAATGATGTACGTAGAAAGAGAACAGCTAGGTGGAAGCAAACATACCCACAATAAATATACCCAGAATCTGTGTAGCTTTTTACTAGTGACGTAGTGTTTTAGGATGCCTGTTGCTTAAGATATTGTCTGGGATGGGGAAACAACCTTCCTGAATTGTGACTGATTTTCACATTTTGTTGTGGTAAGCTGACCTACTGCAAAGTTGAAATTGTAAACATACATGGAAAAGCAACTTAAACGTGCTGCTTACTAAAAAGCATAAAATGATGGTAGAAGCATGACATATTTTAAAAGCTACTTTCTGGGGATGAGGTAATGACAGTAACAGCCAGAACTTCCTGAAGGCATGTGATGTACACGTCCAAGTGCTGTGCATCAGTGCACTTGATTTACCTTAACTCATCCTGAGTGTTCTTCAGATTTAAGCCAAGGAACTCCACTTTGGTGGAGGTACTGCTATTAGTCCCAGCTACGGTGAGGAACCTAAGAGGTCCAGTGACTCACCCAAGGTAGTCTGGTGAGGTCCTCTTAAGCCCAGAACCCCTACTCCGTGGTAATGAACTTGATATGAGGATCTTCAGTTATTCAAATTAGAAACAAAGGCAGGTAATCTCTTGGTCCCTTGTTCTCAGGGGACTATATATTCTTTTGCCCTGTCTCTATCTGGGTATTGCTTCTTTTTTTTTTTTTTTTCTCTTTGCAGTTTCTCTACCTTGTAAGCTCACAGTCAACTGATTCCTCTCAACTTGATATGTCCTTCATTTAAGCAACCAGCAAAAACTGACCGCTAGCTTTGAATCACAGTTTTGAAGCACTGTGAGAAAGACTTCAATTAGCCTTAGGAGTCAGGGATCTCTTGCCCCCGGGACAAAAGCAGTGGCTATGGGAGGAAAGCAAGGTCACACATTATAAATATGGCTGCCAGGGTTCATGAAGGTAGTTTTCAGAGAAGTGTATGGGTTGGCAGAAAACCTAAAATGCATCTATTATTAGACTGTACATGTGTTCACTGCATTCGTACCCTTTGCATATAGAAGGCAGTTTCAATTTAAGGTCACAGGAATGTTTGCAGATAAACACACTTTTTCAGCCTACCTTTCTGGATCAAAACTTGTTTGTATTCTTCCATGGCCTGAAAAACACAGAATTTGTATAAACTTTAGATAGAAATCTGTATTCGCTTTCTAGAGCCTCCATAGCAAAGTAGGTGGCTTAAAACGACAGAAATTTATTCTCTCACAGTCCTGTAGGCCACAGGTCCAAAGTCAACGTGTCAGCAGGGTTGGTTCCTTCTGGAGACTCTAAGGCAGAAACTGTCTTACACCTCTTTACCAGCTTCCGGTGTTTGCTGGCAATTCTTGGCATTCCTTGGCTTGTTGAAGCATCACTCCAGTCTCTGCTTGCATCTTCACATTGCCTCTCCCTGTGTTTTTCCTCTTCTGTCTCCTATAAGGACATTTGCATTAGATTTAGGACCAACCCTAACCCAGCATGATTTCATTTTGATCCTTATCCTAATTATATCTGCAAAGACCCTTATTCCAAATCAGATCACATTTTGAGGTTCTGGGTAAACATGAATTTGGGGGGACACCATCCAACCAACTCCTCACAGCATCCACCCAGAAAGTCTCCTTGCAGCTAAGATACTGGCACCCCTACTTATCTCCTCTAAATTGATTTGTTCTTCCATCAAACACTTTCCGTGTGGCAGGCACTGTTCTAAGCATTTCACAAATGATGACTCATTTGATGATTATGAATTGGTGTCGATTTTCTTCTGGATTAGCTCTCCCATGTGTGAAAGGCTGCCAGCCCTTCCCTTGGCAGCTGGTCCAGGCTCTGTGCTCTGTGCACGGGGACTTTGATAAAGACTGATCCGAGACCCACCTGCAGCCACCTGACACTGGCAGTCTAGGTGGTCTCTCACCTAAGAGTGAAATGTCACCTCCTGGAGAGAGCTAAGTAAGAGATTCAGGAAACTGACAGATATGACTTAAGATTCCTTGTGCAAGTATCTCCTTGGAAAATGGGCAACAGGAAATCTCCCTAAGGAAAACGGGATGGTAATGAAGACAAACAAGCAGCCCCAGCAGGAAGCAGAACCAGCTACGGACACCATGCAGTGTTCAGGGATGTTCCCTGAGCTTCAGTGACAGGGAGGAGATGTCCAGACCATGTGCCCCACCAAGTTTTTCTAGATTGCCACTTTTTTCTCTTCTTCACTAAAGCCCAGTAAGGCAACTTCTAATTAAGGTGCTCAGTTGAACTGAATATTTTTTAATATTTTGTTTGTTTGTTTTGCTTTAAAATACTATGAGGATCTATAATATACCAAGCTGAGAGCCAAATAAGAATCCAGCAAATGATGCTTATTTCCTTTTAATGGAGTAACCAGTGTAAGAGTTTGCATAAGATTTAAAGCTACTGATTTACTTAGAACTGATACGTATCTGCCCGGGTTCAGTGCTGTTCCTTCAGTGTCTTTACATCTTCATAAAGCATAGATGAGCTGAAGTCTTTATTTTGTAGGCACTCCATAAAATCTTATGGTACTTTGTGATCAGGCAGAAAGATTAACTGCCACCAAATGACAGAACAGTACGTGTCACAGAGCAGTAAAAGGATAAAAATGATACATGTGCTAGAATTTTTAAAAAAGAATGAAATCTTGCCTTTTGCAACAATATGAATGGACCTAGAGGGTATTATACTAAGTGAAATAAGTCAGAGAAAGACAAATACTGTATGATTTCATTTATATGTGGAATCTAAAAAGCAAAACAAATGGACAAACATTAAAAAAAAAAGAAACAGTTATAGACACAAAGAACAACAGGTGGTTGCCAGAGGAGAGGGAGATGGGGGAGGAAAGAAATAGGTGAGAGAGGTTGAGAGGTACAAACTTCTAGATGTAAAACAAATGAGTCACAGGTATGAAATGTATAGTGTGGAGAATATAGTCAATAACTAAGTAATATCTTTGTATGGTGATATATCATAACTAGACCTATCATGACGATCATTTTGAAATGTATGGGGGAAAAAATCACTATGTTATGTAACAGAAGCTAACATAGTGTTGCAGGTCAATTATACTTCAAAAACAAACAAACAAACATGCAGACAAACTCAGAAAAAGAGATCAGATTTGTGGTTACCAGAGGCAGAGGGTAGGGGAGAGGGGATTGGACGAAGGCAGTCAAAAGATATTACAAACCTCCAGTTATAAGATAGGTAAGTACTAAGGATATAATGTACAACATGATAAAAATAATTAACACTGCTGTATGTTGCGTATGAATGTTAAGAGAGTAAATCCTGTGTTCTCATCACAAGGAAAACTTTTTTTTTCTTTTCCTTTAATTTTGTCTCTATCTGAGATGTTTACTGTTCACTAAACTTATTGTGAGAATTATTTCATGATGTATGTAAGTCAAAACATTATGCTGTATACCTTGAACTTCTACAGTGCTGTATGTCAATTATATTTCAATACAACTGGAAGAAAAAAAAAGAAATATTTGCCACAATAAGAAGTACTGAAAGCTGGAATAAATTATGATGCTATTTATTCCAAAACAAGGAAATGGAAAACTACAACAGTCCCATCCAGGCAGGATTAGTCATGGCCTCCAGCCTTTAGGAGCAAAGGTTTGTGTCACCTACCAGGTAAAGATAACCAGCTGAGGTGCTTGTTGAAGGCAAAAAGAATACAGAGTGGGTAGTAATAGAAGGTGGTTATAAATATCAGCTACAACCACGTGACCAATCAGAAATGAAGACTATAATGGCCATGAGTATTAACTCATCATTAAGGAGTATTAATAAGCAGCATTTCTTCCTATTGTTTTATTATGAATACATTTGAGGTTTCAACTGTATGGGTTCAAGGTCAACTGTATATCTTTGTTTTCTTTCCTTTCTTAATCCCTCATCACATAACACAAATGTATTGACTTTATATTATGGTCAATCTTTATTGATTATATCTGAATATTAACTTAATAGGATTTAAATTATAGCATTTCAAGGAGAAAAGTAAACATCAGTCAAGTACTTTACTTTCTCTTCTGGGAAAGGGGTTTGTACATTTTTGGTTGTATGCAGAATAGTTGAATCATGTTAGGCAGAATTATGACCTTGTCATTGTCTTTCTTTTGAGGTTAAGTATGGTTTAAGGAGATGGGTATGGGTGCCAAGTTGATAAGAGTTGGACTTGGTTAATTTTGTGTCTGCTTGACTGGGTCATACGGTGCCCAGGGATTTAGCTGACGTTTTTCTGGATGTGTCTGTGAGAATGAGATTAGCACTTGAACTGGTGGGTTCAATACAGCAGACTGCCCTCAGTGTGGGTGGGTGTCATCCCATCCACTGAAGGTTTGGATAATATGAAAGGCAGGAGAAGGGGGAATTCACCCTTTTTGCCTGACCACTGGAGCTGAACATTGGTCTTCTACCCTCAGACAGACTGACACCTTCAGTTCTCCTGGAATTCAGGTCTTTGGACTTAGACTGAATTACACCACCAGCTTTCATGGGTCTCCAGCCTGTAGACAGCAGACTGTGGGACTTCTCAGCCTCCATAATCAAGTGAGCCAGTTCCTCATAATAAATCTCAGATACATCTGTATAGATATATCTGATATCATATATATGTATATATATCGTCAAGATTTATTCCATTCTTGCTTTTTCTTACCTAATATTCCATATAGATATTCACATAATACCTGGTCCCATTAATTGGCATAATCCATTAACTCCAGATAAGAATAAAATTAGTCCATACCTGAATTTTTATTTGTCTTTTGGATTGGAACAACAACAACAAAAACTTAATGGCTAAATTTTTCAAATTATACCAAAGCGAGGGAAGTTACATCAAAATAGATATATACATATCATACTGGTGGCATTTTAAATATATTCCATCTTTTTGGAAATAGCTTTGGTATCACATGTTTATGGAGCATTTTGAATTATTTTACATGGCTTTAGAAGCCACATTTTGTTGGTATTAACCAGACATCTACTAGTGGGCCATGATTTTTGTTCCAAGGTCCTTAGATGTTATCAATTAGTTGGTAGATAATTTATCTCACCATTTCATATAAATTGACCAGTTTGGTTTTGAAATCTATCAGGAGATCTAAGACTGATAATTTTTAAATAAATTTTACTTGTGAATTTTTCAACTTCTATTTCTCTAAATTATTTTAAAATTTATAAAATGATTTCAAGAAAAAAGTTCAATCTTAACATAGCTTTACAATACTTAAGTGAATTAGAAATCTAGTAGATACAAAGAACAACAAGATTTAATGATAGTATATGGTTTTGGGTTTTTTTTTCAAATTAGCCCTGGAGCAAAAGGAAATAATTTTCCTCCATTGCTTGCCATTAGCTGCCCTGTCTGCCTACCCCTGACTGCATTCAGGCCATTGCCAGTAAGTAACCTGCAGTTCTGGCTGGAAAGGGGGAAAAGGAAATGTAGAAACTTGTAGTTCAGGGCTGGCCTCTCCTAAAATTTGTCTTCCTGTGCCTCTCAGCAGCATATTTCCTTAAAAGGTACTCATGTATATGCTTCCTCCAAAATCTTGAACTTGTTAATGATGCCCTAGCTTGGGTCAAATGAAAGACTCCATAATGAGATAGAAAAACCACCACTTGGAACAAAACTCCTGGTGAGATGCTCAACTCTGCCGATGATTTCAGCAAATCATTACCTTTCTAGCATCAGAGTTCTTACCTGTAAAAAGAGGAGGGTGTCTAGCTTATCAGTTCTGAACCTCTTTTCTGCTGTGACACACCTAGTGGATGAATATCTCATGAACAAAAAATATCCACTGAGGAAGCCCCAAAACATTTTCAGAGATAGATAGCAAAGAGCAGGTAGATTTTTCAAAATCTGTTTGTTGGTGGCTTTATTTTAACATAATATGTGAGGCTATGATATATATAGTCCACTGAGAGCCAAATAAAGGGTCAGCAAATGAATTTTATTTCCCTCTAGTAGACTGACTGATATAATGGTTTATGGAGACCTATTTGGTTTTGACATAGCATTCCTAAAAGCCTTTATAAACTTGTGAATTAAGAAGACTGCCATTTATTTCAGAAGCAAAAATAGAACCAAATTCTTAAATTTTTCTTTTCCAAAATGATATTTGATATTTTTAAGTTCCTTACTCCAAGATAAACTAAACTGAATAGATTTCTTTTTGCCTTGGCCTATTTCATCTTCTGATGGGACTCTCTAAAAGGGGAATAGAGCAAAGAGCATGTGCTCCCTGGAGCAATGTTTCTGGGGACAATGGTTTGGAAATTCTGTGATGATGAGTATCAAAGATTTAGAGGAGACCTTGGTCCTAATTCTGCTGTGATGTTAGGCAAATCATTGACGTTTTAGTTTCATCCCATGTAATTACTGGAGCACAGCTGTATTTCCAAGAACTAAAGTAAATACAAAGTAAATGAGTAAATTCTTAATAATTAATATGTTGTTGGATGAGGACAGATGCTTATTCTTACTATAGACAGTCAGTTTTTGTGACACATTTAAAATTTCTTCCTACTGACTGGACTCATGGGAATTTGTTCCAAACGGACAATTTAATAAGCACCCATTAAGTACCTGCTATGTACTTTGAAAAATTCCTCTCTCAATTATTACTCCCTCTGCCCCTTCCCCGAATGTAACCACTACCCTGACTTCTAATGCCATCATTTAGTTTGGGGGACATTTTTATTCTGGGTTATTTTAAGATTTGATTGTGATAAGGACACAGCATGAGATATATCCTCTTAAACTTTGTGCATTGTTGTTGACTATAGGTACAATGTCGTAGAGTTTATTCATCTTACTTTAACTAATACTTTGTCTGTTGAATAATACCATCATTTAGTTTGGCCTGATTTTCAAGCTTAATACATATTGAATCATACAGTGTGTATCAGTTTGTATCTGGCTTCTTTCATTCATCATGTTGATGAAATTCATTCATATTTTGCAATAAACAGGAGTTTGTTCATGTTCACTGCTGAAGAGTTCTTCCATTGTTTGAATACACCACATTATATTTATCCATGCTTATGTGGGTAAGCATTTGTGGTGTTCCAAGATTGGGGCCATTATGAGTAGTACCGTGACAATTTGTATTCATGTGTATGCATTTCTGTTCAGAATGTGCATAAGAGCCAAAATTGCTCTGTCATATGGTATGTGTACAAACCACTTTCATACACACTGCCAAGCAATTTTCTACAGTGGCTGTGCCAATGTGCTCTCTCACAACCAGTATGAGAGTTCCTCTTCTGTATCTCTGCACTTGGTATTGACAGTTCTTTCTTTTTCAATTTAGCCTTTCTGTTGGGGATAGGTTATCTGACTGTGGCTTGATTTACATTTCCCCGATAACTAATGGGGTTGAACATCTTTTCATAAATCTGCTGATCATTTGGCTATCCTCTTTTGTGAAGTACTTGTTTAAAAGCTTTTCTGAGCATATTTTAAATTGGATTGTCTGTCCTATTGTGATTTTTTAAGTAATTCTTTTTTTAAATTGAGTTATAGTCAGTGTACAATGTTGTGTCAACTTCTGCTGTACAGCACAATTCTTCAGTCATATATAAATATACATATATTCATTTTCTTATTCTGTTTCACTGTGAGCTACTACAAGATATTGAATGTATTTCCCTGTGCTATACAATGTGAACTTGTTTATCTATTTTATATATATCTGTCAGTATCTGCAAATCTCGAACTCCCAGTTTATCCTTTCCTACCCCACTCCCCCTGGGAACCACAAATCTATGTTTGTATGTTTCTGTTTTTTATATAAGTGCGTTTGTCTTCTTCTTTTTTTTAATATTCCACATATGAGTGATATCATATGGTATCTTTCTTTCTCTTTCTGGCTTACTTCACTTAGAATGACATTCTCCAGGGACATCTATGTTGCTGCAAATGGCATTATTTTATCATTTTTAATGGCTGAGTAGTATTCCGTTATATAAATATACCACAACTTCTTTATCCAGTCATCTGTCGATGGACATTTAGGTTGTTTCCATGTCTTGGCTTTTAGTAATTCTTTATTTTTTTCAACATTTTTTTATTGAGTTATAGTCAGTTTACAATGTTGTGTCAATGTCCAGTGTAGAGCACAATTTTTCAGTTATACATGAACATACATATATTCATTGTCACATTATTTTTCACTGTGAGCTACCACAAGATCTTGTATATATTTCCCTGTGCTATACAGTATAATCTTGTTTATCTATTCTACATATACCTGTCAATATCTACAAATTTCAAACTCCCATTCTGTCCCTTCCCTCCCCTCTGGCAACCACAAGTTTGTTTCTGTTTTGTATTTATGTTCTTTTTTTTTTTTTAGATTCCACATATAAGCGATCTCATGTGGTATTTTTCCTTTTCTTTCTCTTTCTGGCTTACTTCACTTACAGTGACATTCTCCAGGGACATCCATGCTGCTGCAAATGGCGTTATGTTGTCATTTTATGGCTGAATAGTATTCCATTGTATAAATATACCAATCTTCTTTATAGATAATCTTTTATAATAATCTTTATAGATAATCTTTTCCTACTTTGTGGTTTGCCTATTCATTATATTAATGATGTTTCCTGATTAAAAAGAAGTTTTAAATCTAATGTAGCCCAATCTTATCCTTTATGGTTAGTGCTTTCATCATGCTGAAGAAAGCATTTCCTACCCCAACACTTACGGAGGTACTCTTCTGTGGTTTCTTTTAAGAAGTTTTAGATTTTTTTAAACTTTGATTTTGGTCTAAATCTACCTGAAACTGATTTTTTTTAATGTGGTGTGGAAAAGGGATTAGGATTTACTTTTTTATGCATATAAATATCCATTTCATTCAGTACCATTTACTTGCCAAAAATATTCTTTCCTCACTTCTCTGCAGAATCACCTTTCTCATTAATTCACTCTCCATATGTATGTTCTTTGGATACACTAATTCTGTTTCAATACTCAATTTTTGGTTCTTAACTATTGCAATAGTGTAGTAAATATTGATATTTAGTACTGTAAGTTCTCCAACTCTTTTCTTTTTCTTCAAAATTATCTTGGCCCTTGCATTGCCATATGCATTTTAGAATTAGCTTGTCAGTTTTTTCACAAACCCTGCTTGGGCTTTCTTAGAATTGTTGTAATGAAGAAGCATTGAATTTTATCTCGTGCTTTTTTGTTTTTATTAAAATGATTACGTGATTTCTCTATTCTGTTAATGTAGTGTAATCCATTGGCAGATTTTCATTAATGCTAAACTAACCTTGAGTTCTTGGAATATGATACACCTACTCATGATGTATTGTTCCTTTTATGTATATTTTTGCTAATATTTGGTTAGAATTTTTGTACCAACATGATACTAAAATTTGATACTAAAGTTTGCTAGTGTTATAAAATGAGTTGGGAAGAGTTACCTCTTTTTTTATTCTCTAGAAAAGTTTGTTTCTTTCTTAAGTATTTAGAAGAATTTCTCACTAAAGTCATATGGGCCTAGAATTTTATTTTTTGCATAAAGGATTTTAATTACAGATTCAAAGATCCAATTTCTTAAATAGATATAGGATTATTTGTGTTTTCCATTTCTTGTATGTATTATGATCAGTTTTGATTTTCTAGGAATTCATCAATTTTATCCAAGTTTTCAAATTTATTGGCATAAAGTTGTTTAAAATATCTTCTTATGGTGTTTCTAATATTCATAGGATCTGTAGTGATGTATTCTTTTTTATTGTTGATATTATATATGACTTCATTCTTTTTCTGTATCAACCTTAACCAGGACTTTATCAATGTTATTATTCTTTTCAAAGAACCAACTTCGAGTTAATTGATTCTCTCTATTATAAATTTGCTTTATAATTTATTAATTTATGCTTTCATCTTTATTACTTTCCTTCTAGCTTCAGTGGGTTTACTTTACAGTTCTTTTTGTAACCCCTTGAGATTAGAAATTTAGGTATCTGGATATTTAAGTTTTTAATTTATAGACTTTTTAATATTTGCACTTACATCTATAAATTTCCTTTTAAGCATGGCTTTTGTCCAACTAACAAGTTTAGATATCTATATACTCACTATTATTCACTTTAAATATTTGCTAATTTTTATTGTGATTTTTTTAATAACACATGCATCATTTAGAATTATACTGTTCAATTTCCAAACATTTGGAAAATTTCTACTTTATGTCTTTTAAGTTCACTTTTCTAAACTGACTTCATTGAGTTATAATTTAAATACAACAAAATGTACTTATTGTAAGTTTATAGTTCAGTTAATTTTGACAAATGTATGCACCTGTGTAACCTCAAACAATTTCAAGATATTATGCGTTGCCACTGCCTCCCGTAGAGATCCCTCATGCCTCTTTGCAGGCAGGAGCAGTGGAGTCCACACTGGAGGCCAGCACTCTCCTGCGAGGAGGCTGAGGCAGGCTGCACGGCTTGTTGATGAGGCGGTGGTGACCTCATGTCAATGGTAAGTTTGAGGACCTGAGAAACAGATGGGGTCTAGAAGATTTAAGGAGGTTCCTCAATTTGACCAATGCAACTTCTCCCAGGAATCTTGACCTATCAAAGCCTTTGGTGGCTTTATAGTTCCCAAATGTCTTTAAACAATGGCTTTATGTATTGCCCAGCATCTCTAATTCTCAAGGGAAGGTTTGGTTTGCAATGAACTACTTCACATTACTAAAAAAGACAAAAAAAAAAAAAGCACTGCTATTTTTTAAAGATCCTATAATAGTAACACAAAATGTTAACCCCAAGTACCACTGACACCCAAACATAGCTAAAAAACTAGTTGACATTAGCTGCACAGTAAAATTAGTGGGACACCAAGATGCCAGCTCACCTCTTAGATATAAATCACCCTTCACCTCTCTATTGGCTCCTCAGATAAGTTCAGTTGACATTTTCGATGTCAACTTGCTGTTGATTTCCTTAGAGTAATCACTGACTGTATTACTCATCTAGTGGAACTTCCCATCCTTACTAAAACACTAATCAGGGGTGGGCCCATTAAAGAAGGGCACAGAATTTTCCAGTTATATCATCCCCATGGCAGAGAGTTCACAACTGCTTTGTTACGTATTTACTATGTGTTTAATTCTGACTGCTGCAAAAACTCAACTCATACTAATCATTATCTCTCTTTGCTTTTCCCAGCCTTAAACCTACCTCTGGTCTAATCTACAGTCTGTAACTCAACTCCTTGTGGCATACGCTAAGAATTTCAGAGTCTCCTCACCTGTTGTTCCAAAACACTACTCACCTGTATCAACCCTGCAGTTTTTAGCCTCTTCCAAGTTAGGTCAAGGATATTAGTTCTTTTTTTTTTTTAATTGAAGTATAGCTAATTTACAATGTTGTGTTAGTTTCTGGTGTACAGCATAGTTATTTGAAACCTCCTTATAGAAATTTACCATTGTATCTTTTCTATATTTTTATGCAATATGAAACAGGAAATACCAATGTAAGGAGCTCTATTAGGACCTCTAAATAAAGGTCTTCTCTTCAATTTGCTACCTTCTCGGAGCACCTGAGATGCCTCTCTTAGTAAAAAGATCACCTTTTGGAGAATGTTAATAGATGAATGCTTAATGATACAGTTCATAGAAATCCAGAGATACTTCATTAGCTTCCTCAAAATAACAGCAAGTTTACTACAGAGATTTTAGGATAATAATCTTTCATTACTTCTTCCTAATCTGTTATTGTCACCACCATGGGTCATCCTTGTCACAGCAATTTGAATATGTGTGGCCAGTGGGAAATGATGACATTTTCAAAGGAATGATGAACTTTCTTCAGCAAAGGGACTGTGTATGGCTGTGGTACCTTGCTAGAGCCTAATCTACGGGCTACCATCTCAACATCAAGACATACCCTATCACAATATTGTGCAGTTAAAAAAAAGTGTGTGCAATGTGATCTCAGTTGTATGATATATGTGTCTATAAAACATGTATGCATGTATGAGAATTCATACTAAAATGTTAACTGATTATATCAGGATTATGGAATTATGTGTACAAGCTAATTTCTATGCACTAATTTGTGTTTTCATCATTTTATTTGTTGAGTATATAATTTTTTTCAAAAAAACTTAAAAAAAATGGTCAGAAGCTTTGCTCTCTTAGGTAAAATACATGTGTTATGCTCTTCTAGGTAAGTCAGGAAATGAAAATAAAATGCATAGAACAGGATATGGTACATTGTCTGTTCTCAGAAATGTTAGCTGTTTTGTTATACTGCATAAGAAATCAAATTGATGTTTTTCATAAACTGCAAATTTAAAATATCTATAATTTAATGATGTGGGTCTTAAAAGAGTATACAGATCTGCAAAGGAACCAAGTAATGTACTAAAACTGCTTGCTTCATTTTTTTTTAAATGAGGTATAATTGAAACAGAAAAAAAAAGATTTATAACGACTTTCAGGCAAAGGAATATAAGAGATTTGAAATCAAAACTCTTTAGCTGTGAGTGCTGCCCCTGGTTGGCTAGGGATACAATCTGGACAGAAAAAAAATGAAAAACTATTTGGAGAGAAAAATGATGAGCAAAAGAAGAGTGGTAGAGGCAAAAGAGGGCAGAAATGGAAAGGAGAGAAGAAAGTTGGAGAGAATATAAAGATTAGTTGGAGGAAAGAGAAAAGAGAAAGATAAAGTGAGTAATGGAAGAGTGGCATCTACAGTGTTACTTACATATGCCAGGCATTCTGCTAAGTGTTTTACAAAAACTGTCTCATTTAATTTTTTAAACAACTCTCTGAAATTGGCATTTTATTGTCCCTATTTAACATATGAGAAAACAAAAGTTTTTAGAGTTTAAGTGATTTTCCCCCAGATCATGTATTGCACCTCTTTAATGAGATATGCTTTGTCTCTTTGAATGTCACTTTGGCCTGATTTATCTTCTTGGGGTGTGATATCCCACCTTCCCATATTAGAAAATAAATGAAAGAATATCTGCTCCTTATTTGATGTCCTCTCTATTGTCATTGTTTTCTATCATCCTGTGAATCAAGCAGACTTAATAAGGCTTAAAATAATATGACGAGAAATGTCATAATTTAACACTAATACCATGTTTGTATTTTCCAAACTAAATATTAAATCACTAATTTTGACATTATATTCACAAATTTATTATATATAAAATTTTACTAAAGTATAAAGAGAAAAATCGCAGAACACTTTTTTGAAAAGCATTGAATTAAACAAAATCTGGAAAACTTTTTTATGAATTTTAATGCTGTCACCATAAAGGACTGATATCTGTAACACTGCTCATTTAGTAAGAAAATTATTCCCCTAAAAAAGCTAAATGGGAAGAGTGGCTGCTGTGAAGTTTTATACTTTCCTCAATATTTGGATAAAAGAATTCTGGGTTGATAATCAGAGGGTCTGGGTCTAGGTTATAGCTCCTGTTCTATCAGTTGTGCAATCTTTGCCCCAGCCCCTAACTTTTCTGGGTCTTAGTTTTCTGGTCTGTAAAATAAGTTTTCAACAATATGTTGCAAAATTCCTATGACTATATTAGCTTTAAAAAGACAGGGCAGGGAGCTCTCCCATGATAAGTATTAGATCAAAAAGAACTTTAAAATTATATATTTTACTGTTTCTAATAGTTTGCTAAATTTTTTTTCACATGTTTAATCGTGACTATTGACTTTTACTTGGTGCCATAAATTACAGGAGACAAGAGTGGCCAAGATGGTGGAGTAGGAAGACCTTGAGTTCACCTCCCATGGGCACACCAAAATTACAACTATTTACAGAGCAACTATTGATGAGAAAGACGTGAAGACTAGCAGGTAAGATCTTTTGCACCTAAAAATATAAAGAAGGAACCACAATAAGACAGGAGAGGCAGAGATGCAATATAGTCAGGACCCTAAATCCTGGGTGGGCAACCCATAAACGGGATAATTTCAACTGTAGAGGTTCTCCACAAGAAGTGAGGGGCCTGAGCCCAAATCTGACTGCACAGTGCAGGGCTCCTACACAAGGAAGGTGAGCCTCCTGAACACTTGGCCTTGAAGAATAATAGAGCTTTTCAGGAGAGCCAGAGGGCTGTGAGAAACAGAGACTGTAGTCTTTTTTTTTTTTCAGTTTTATTAGGTAGAATTGTTACAATTTGACTGCACATAGACAATATATTGCATGTAAATACATATACACAATATACTGCACATATTCAGAGAGACTAGCCTTAAAGGGTGCATACAAAATCTCACATGCTCCAAAATTCAGGACAGAAGCAGTAATATGAAAGAAGCCTGGGTCAGACCCACCTGCTGATCTTGGAGAGCCTCCCAGAGAGGTAGAAGGCAACTGCCACTCTATTTGGGGACATAGATACTGGTGACAGCCGTTTTTAGGTGTTAGTTCTACCATGAGGGCACTGGTGCTGGTAGGCACCATTTTGGAAACTTCCCTCTAGCTTGTGAGCTCTGAGACCTGACCCCACCCACCAGCCTGTCAGCACAAGTAGAGGAACACCTCAGTGCAAGCACATAGCTAGGCAGGGTCACAGCCCCACCAACCAGCAGCTCAGCAGCCTCCGTACAAGACAAGTCCTGGCAACCAACTGAACTGGGGGCCAGCCATGACTACTGCGTCACCCACAGTAGTCAACCTGCTACAGCAGAAGGGCCCAGGAAGCCTACACAGGGGGCACTTCTAGAGCAGATAGCTCTGGTGACCAGAGAGAACACATAGGAATCTTCTCCTCTAAGACTGGGAAATGTAACCAACTCACCAAATACGAAGAAACAAAAACAGTGAATTAGATAAAAATGAGCAACAGAGAAATATGTTCCAAATGAAGGAACAAGATAAAACCCTAGAAGGAGAACTATGTGAAGTGGAGATAAGCAATCTACCCAATAAAGGTTCAAGGTAATAAACGTAAAGATGCTCAAGGAACTCAGGAGAAAATGTATGAACAAATGAGAAGTTAGAAGTTTGAAACAAAGGATTAGAATATATAAGGAAGAACCAAACAGGGATGAAGAATACAGTAACTGAAATGAAAAATACACTAAAAGAAATCAACAGCAGATTAGGTCATACAGATCAGTAAACAGGAAGACAGGGTAGTGAAAATCACTGAAGCTGAACAGAAAAACACAAAAGAAAATTTGAAAAATGAGAACAGTTTAAAAGACCTCTGGGGCAACATCAAGCACACTAACATTTGCATTATAGGGATTCCAGAAGGAGAAGAAAGAGAGAAGGGGGAAGAGCACACATTTGAAGACGTAGTAGCTGAAAATTTCCTTAACCTGGGAAAGGAAACAGATACTCAATTCCAGGGAGCGCAGAGAGTCCCTAACAGGATCAACACAAAGAAGACCACACTAAGACATACTGTAATTAAAATGGCAAAATTAAAGAGAGAGTATTAAAAGCATCAAGAGAAAAGCAACAAGGGAACTCCATTAAGGCTATTAGCTGACTCTTCAGCAAAAACTCTGCAGGCCAGAAGGAAGTGACATGATATATTTAAAATGTTGGAAGGGAAAATACCTACAACCAAGAACACTCTACCTGGCAAGGCTTTTATTCAGATTTGATGGAAAGATAAAAAGTTTTACAGACAAGCAAAAGCTAAAAGAGTTAACCACCGTGAAACCAGCTTTACAAGAAATGTTAAAGGTACTTCTCTAAGCAAAAAAGGAAAGGCCACACTAGAAATACGAAAATTTCTAGGTAAAGGAAATCTCATTAGTAAAGGAAAATATACAGTAAAGGCAGTAAGTCAACCACATATAAAGCTAGTAGGATGACTGAAAGACAAAAGTAGTTAAATCATCTGTATCTATGATAAATAGTTAAGGGATACACAAAACAAAAAGATGTAAAATGTTAATTTAAAACAGTAATCACCAGAAGGGGGAAGTGAAAATGCAGGGTTGTTAAAATGCATTTTGAAGTTAAGAGATCAGCAACTTAAAATAATCACATATATACAGATTGCTGTATATAAACTTCATGGTAACCACAAACCAAAAATCAGTAATAGATACACAAAGAAAAAGAAATCCAAACTTTAACACTAAATTTAGTCATCAAATCACAAGGGAAGAGAGCAAAAGAAAAAGAAAGGACTAAAAAAGAACTACAAACACAACCCCAAAACAATTAAGAAAATGGCGATAAGTACACAATTTTCTATAATTACTATAAATGTAAATGGACTAAATGCACCAATCAAAAGGCATTAAGTGGATGAATGGACACAAAAACAAGACCCATGTATATGCTACCTACAAGAGAGTCACTTCGAATCTAAAGACATACACAGACTGGGGGAAGTGAGGAAAAAGATATTCCATCCAAATGAAAACAAACAAACAAAGCTGGAGTAGCAATACTTATTCAGACAAAATGACTTTAAAACAAAGATTGTCACAAGAGACAAAGAAGGACATCACATAATGATCAAAGGATCAATACAGGAAGAAGATATAACAATGTAGAGACAAGTTTACCCATATCCTCCTCAAACTATTCCAAAAAATTGCAGAAGTAATACTTCTGACTCATTCTATGAGGCCAGCATCACCCAGATGCCAAAACTAGACAAAGATATCACAAGATATTAAAGAAAATTATAGGCAAATATCACTGATGAATGTAGATGCAAAAATCCTCAACCAAATATTAGCAAACTGAATTCAACAATACATTAACGGATCATATGCTACCATAATCAAGTGGAATTTATCCCAGGGATGTAAGGATGCTTTAATATTCCCACATCAATCAATGTGGTACACCATATTAACAAATTGCAGAATAAAAACCATACGATCATCTAAATAGATGCAGAAAAAGCTTTTGACAGAATTCAGCATCCATTTACAAAAAATACTCTCAACAAAGTGTGTGTAGAGGGAACTTGCCTCAACATAATGAAGGCCATATATGACAAGCCCCTAGCTAATATCATACTCAATGGTGAAAAGCTGGAAGCATTTCCTCTAAGATCGGAAGCAAGACGAGGACGCCATTTCTCACCACTTTTATTCAACATAGTATTGAAAGTCCTAGCCACAGCACTCAGACAACAAAAAGAAATAAAAGGAATACAAATTGGAAAGAGAAAGTAAAACTGTCAATGTGTGCAGATGACATGATTCTACACATAGAAAATTCTAAAGACACCACCAAAAAACTACTATTCATCAGTGAATTCAGTAAAGTTGCAGGATGCAAAATTAATATACAGAAATCTGTTGCATTTTTACACTAAGAATGAACTATCAGAAAGAGAAATTAAGAATGCAATGCCATTTACCATCTCATCAAAAAGAATAAAAGTATCTGGGGATAAATCTAGCTAAGGAAGTAAAAGACCTGTATTCAGAAAACTACAAGATGCTGATGAAAGAAATTGAAGATGACACGAACTGATGAAAAGATAGAATCGAAGAATTAATATTGTTAAAATGACCATACTATCCAAGTCAGTGCAGAGATTCAATGCAATCCGTATCAAAATACCAAGGCATTATTCACAGACCTCGAACAAATAATTCTAAAATGTGTATGTAAACACAAAAGACCCCAAATAGCCAAAACAATCTTGAGAAAGAACAAAGCTGGAGGTATCATGTTTCCCGATTTCAAACTATACTACAAAGGAATAGTTACGAAAGCAGCATAGTACTGGTACAAAAACCAGATACTTCGATCAATGGAACAGAATTTAGAGTCCATAGGTGAACCCGCACTTATATGGACAATTAATCAATGATAAAGGAGGTAAGAATATACAATGAAAAGACAGCCTCTTCAATAAGTGGTACTGGGAAAACTGGACAGCTACATGCAAAAGAATCGAACTGCACTGCTCTTTCATACCATGCACAAAAACAAATTCAAAATGGATTAAAGATTTAAATGTAAGACCTGAAACCCTAAAACTTCTAGAGGAAAACATAGGCAGTATGCTCTTGGACATTGATCTTAGCAATATTTTCTTAGTTGTGTCTCCTCAGGCAAGGGGAAGGAAAGCAAAAACAAATAAATGGGACTACATTAAACTAAAAAGATCTTGCACAGCAAAGGAAACTATCAACAACAACAAAAAACAAATAACATGATTCAAAAATGGGCAGAGGATCTGAATAGACATTTTTCCAAACAAAACATACAGATGACCAACAGGCACACGAAAAGATGCTCAACATCACTAATCATTAGGGAAATGTAAATCAAAACTACTATGAGGTATCGCTTCACACATGTTAGAATGGCTATTATCAAAGAGACAACAAACAAGTGTTGGTGAGAATGTGGAGAAAATAGAACCCTCATGCACGTTGGTGGGAATGTAAATTGGTTTTTTTCCACTATGGAAAACAGTTTGGAGATTCTTCAAAAAATTAAAAATAGAACTGCCATATGACCTAGCAATTCCACTCCTGGGTATTTATCCAAAGAAAACAAAAACATTAATTAGAAAAGGTATATGTGCCCCTATGTTTGTTGTAGCATTATTTACAATAACTGAGATATGCAACCCAAGTGCCCACTGACAAATGAATGGATAAAGAAAATGTGGTATGTATATATACAACAGAGTATTATTCAACCATAAAGAAAGAATGAAATCTTGCCATTTATAACAACATGGATGGGCCTAGAGGATATTATGCTACAAGAAATAAGTCAGACAAATAATGACAAATGTCGGAGCCAGCCGACAATCGATCAGGTCCAGAAATCTGTGCTGCAGGACTGAGAAAAGGAAAAACGTAACAAAGAGACAGCAAGACAAGACAAGTTGGGGTTGAGAGGGTCTCACTCTAGCCCGCAAGACGCTAGGTCAAGAGTGGACTACGAGTTTATTTCTTGCAGTCAATTTATATGATTTT